TTCCCGCCAAAGCGGTACCTATTTATCTACTTGCACTGGCGTGCTTTCAAACTGCTAGGTTGGCAGGAGCTGAGACAGAGCAACGGGAGCTCACTCCGTCGCGTGGATTCGAACTGCCGACCTTCTGATCGGCAAGCCCAAGATGCTCAGTGGTTTAGACCACAGTGCCACCCGCATCCTACATTACAGGGGGTTGGACTAGATGACCCTTGGAGATCTCTACCAGTTCTACTGTTCTATGATTAAACCACCCCAGGATTGAAGCACAGGCTCTGTTATGCAGCTATGGGCCTCCCCTTTAGTATGGGTTGCCTAGTGGTGCTGTGGTCTAAACCACTGAGCCTCTTGGGCTTGCCGATCAGAAGGTCAGTGGTTCGAATCCCCGCAATGGGGTGAGCTCCCGTTGCTCTGTCCCAGCTCCTGCCAACCTAGCAGTTTCAAAGCACACCAGTGCAAATAGATAAATAGGTACCGCTGTGGCGGGAAGGTAAACAGCATTTCTGAGCGCTCTGGCTTCCATCACGGTGTCCTGTTGCGCCAGAAGTGGCTTAGTCCTGCTGGCCACAAGACCTGGAAAGCTGTCTGTGGACAAACGCCGTCTCTCTTGGTCTGAAAGCAAGATGAGCACCACAACCCCATAGTCACCTTTGATTGGACGTAACCGTCCAGGAGTCCTTTACCTTTACCTTCACCTCAGCACTCAGAGTCCCATAGGGATGGGGGAGAGAAATTTTAAAGTGAATCGACCTAATCCAAACGTGCAAAAACAATTTGCAGACTGGAAAACACACCAGCTTTCCCTCAAAGTCCGCACTCCTCAAAATTTTGCAAAGCCAAAACACCCACCAAAACCATATACAGTGGTACTTCGGGTTAAGTACTTAATTCGTTCTGGAGGTCTATACTTAACCTGAAACTGTTCTTAACCTGAAGCACCACTTTAGCTAATGGGGCCTCCTGCTGCCACCGCTCCACTGGAGCACGATTTCTGTTCTCATCCTGAAGCAAAGTTCTTAACTTGAAGCACTATTTTTGGGTAGTGGAGTCTGTAACCTGAAGCGTATGTAACCTGAAGCGTATGTAACCCGAGGTACCACTGTACAGAAATACATTCATCAGGGGGGAGTTTGCAGGCTAAAAATAACACACACACAAATTAGGGGAGACTGCTTGCATATAGGTGTGTATTAGTCAAAAATGCACACAGGAACGTTAGCACGAGTAGAAATCAGCACAATAATGCTAATGAATTTCCACGGCGACTTTTTTTGATGCAGGCATGTGGTGAACTGGAAATTGCTGAAATCGGGAGGAAAATAGAAACTGGAATGGACCGATCTGCCTGTTTGTTCGGCTTGTTCGGCTGATGCCAGAATTGGCTGGTTGCTGATCTGCCCCCAACTTAGCAAAAGGGCAGCTGCTTTGACAGAGAGGGAGGGCTGCCAAACCCAGCCTCAAACCAGATGGATAAGAACTCTGGATGCCTCCCAACTAGGCCAGAGCCCAGACCCTCCTCTCCTATCTCGGGGGACGGGCCTGTTCTCTGCAAGGCCAGAAGACGTGCAGTGATCGACGGAGCAAGGCACTTTTCGGAAAAACAAACCGAAAACAGCGGAACGGATCTTTGCCCCGGGAAGCTTACAGTCAACACTTTGACAGTGTCGTGTTAAGATGGATGGGTAGTCAAGTTGTGCAGAAACTTGGATCCCGCAAAGCTGGCAGATGCAATAAGAGAGAAACCTAAAAAGATGGTGAAAGAAGAATGGGGATGTTTAAATAATTATCTAGGGGACAAGGGTTCATCAAGAAAGACCTGGTTATGTTTAGAATGATGCCACATAGGGAAATGTTCCCTGATACCAAAGATGAGGGTGAGGGATTCAATGGAAAGCAGATGGAGAGAATGGATAAGAACAATGATCTGTTGTGACCTTGACGGAAGTGTACAATAGATGAACCTCCTTGAAGGAGCGTCTCCACCTCCATCGTTCTGCCCGGACACTGAGGTCCAGCGCCGAGGGCCTTCTGGTGGTTCCCTCCCTGCGAGAAGCCAAGTTACAGGGAACCAGGCAGAGGGCCTTCTCAGTAGTGGTGCCCTCCCATCAGATGTCAAAGAAAAGAACAACTCCCAGACTTTGAGAAGACATCTGAAGGCAGCCCTGTTTAGGGAAGCTTTTAATGTTTGATAGGTTATTGTATTTTAGTGTTTTGTTGGAAGCTGCCCAGAGTGGCTGAGGAAACCCAGCCAGATGGGTGGGGTATAAATAATAAATTATTGTTATTATTATTGTGTTTTTGTCTTCTTCTTCTTTATTTCTTCTTTTTTCTCCCCACCCCTCTTTTTTTCTTCTTCTTTTTTCTTTTTCCTTTTTCCCTCCTCCTCCTCCTTCTTTCCTTTTCCTTTTTTCTTTCCCATAATGGCTTATGTTCTATGCCATGTACTTTGATATTTTTTGTAGTTTTTTTTTAGCTTTTTTCATTATTACTATTATTAAGGATTTTTCTTTTGTAATTTTGGTTGTTTATATTTATCTGTATTTGTTTAAAGCAAAATAAAAGTATTTTTAAATTTTTTTTAAGGGTGGGTTTTTTTTGGGGGGGTGATGTGAAGTAAGAAGGCAGAACCTCAGAAGATTTGGGAGGTACCCCAAGGGTCATTTAGTCCAACCCCCTGCAATACAGGAATCACACCTGAAGATTCCCACACAGGTGGCTGGATGCAGATAGGATCATGGACAGCGTGAGAGATAGTGTGATCAGGGAGGTTATCTCTGTGGCATGATAGCCATGTTCAAATATATAAAAGGATGTCACATAGAGGAGGGAGAAAGGTTGTTTTCTGCTGCTCCAGAGAAGCGGACACGGAGCAATGGATCCAAACTACAAGAAAGAAGATTCCACCTCAACATTAGGAAGAACTTCCTGACAGTAAGAGCTGTTCGACAGTGGAATTTGCTGCCAAGGAGTGTGGTGGAGTCTCCTTCTTTGGAGGTCTTTAAGCAGAGGCTTGACAACCATATGTCAGGAGTGCTCTGATGGTGTTTCCTGCTTGGCAGGGGGTTGGACTCGATGGCCCTTGTGGTCTCTTCCAACTCTATGATTCTATGATTCTATGATCTGTTCTGCATACTCTCCAAGTGTCCTGGTTTTCCAGCGACAGTCCCGGAATTAGAGAAGCTGTCCCAGTTTCTGATTTGATCTCCGAATGTCCTGCTTTTCCTTATTCCTCCCTGTGCTGGGCCCAGGAGTTAACCCGAGCAATGCAGTCCTAGTCCAGTCGCGAATCCAAGGGTTCTGTGAGGAGTCAGTCCGCCAGGGCCAAGGCAGGACACAAAGGCAGGAAAGCAGCCTAGGTCACGCACAGGGTCTCAGGCAGGTTCTAGCAAACAGCAATGTTGCTCCCGCAACCTGGGGCGGGGTCCGACAGCCTTTTATCTCTGTCAGGGTAGCGGCTGGTCCTGATCCCCCAGTGACTCACCTCCCTGTTTTGCCCAAATGCAAGCACTCCTCCTGTGAGTCCTCAGGTCTCTCCTTCTCTCAGACCTGAGTCTCTGCAGCTCGGGAGACTTCGGTGGGTTACTAGACCCAGAGGCCGCCTCAGCCTCCCCTGACCCAACTGGTAGAGGAGCAGCTGTAAGTGATGGCCCAGCTGGAGGCAACGAGGTCATCCCCGCATCTGGAGCCAGGGCAGGCTCAGGCCCCTGACTCGGCCCAGCTGGTGCTTGTTGCAGGGGAAACTGTGCAGACTGGGACTCTTCAGGATCAGGCCCCAGACTAGGTTCAGCTGCTGCCTGAGGCAAAGGATCTGATGCAGATTGAGTCTCCTCTGGTTCCAAGTCTGAGCCAGAGTCCCAGGCCATCACACTCCCCTCCCCTTATTCCTCCTCATTCTTCTCCTCTCGTCCCTTCTCTCTTTCTCCCCCACCTCAAAGTTCCTTTTATCCCTGGCTGCTTTCAACTTCAGCTAACACTCATGTTTGAGAGGCTGTTGTTTTCTCGCCCCGGAGATGAAAACGCCCCCCCCTGCTCAGTGTGCCCTGCCTCTGATCAGCCTCCTTTCATCTGTTTTGCCAGCCAAAAAGAAGTTAATTGTTCCTGGCACGGGGGGGGGGAGAGGAGAGAGGAGGAGGGCAAAGGGGCACTGTTTTTTGGGGTTTTTTTTATTTCTCCAAACATTAGTGGAAAGCCAGGAATCATAAAATCACAGAACTGTAGCATTGGAAGGGACACCCCAAATGCCATCTAGTCCAACCCCCACAATGCAGTAATCACAGCTAAAGAACCCCAGCCGACCTTGGTTAGAAAACCTCTGATGAAGGGGAGTTCACCACCTTTATATGCTACCCTTTGAATTTCCAAATAAATAAATAAAAAACTAAACAATTGTCCAGTAGCACCTTAGAGACCAACTAAGTTTGTTCTTGTTATCAGCTTTCGTGTGCATGCACACTTCTTCAGATACACTGAAACAGAAGACACCAGACCCTTATATATAGTGGGAGGGTGGGATGGGGTTTTCCCCCCAGAAGGGTAGTAGGAGATGGGTGATTGACTCAATGGGTATGGTGAGCCATTAATCCTACAGGAAAAAGCAAGGGATAGTATGCAGATGGCAATGACAAACCTAGACAGCATCTTAAAAAGCAGAGACATCACCTTGCCAAGAAAGGTCCATATAGTTAAAGCTATGGTTTTCCCAGTAGTGATGTATAGAAGTGAGAGCTGGACCATAAAGAAGGCTGATCGCTGAAGAATTGATGCTTTTGAATTATGGTGCTGGAGGAGACTCTTGAGAATCCCATGGACTGCAAGAAGATCAAACCTCTCCATTCTGAAGGAAATCAGCCCTGAGTGCTCATGGGAAGGACAGATCCTGAAGCTGAGGCTCCAAGGCTTTGGCCAAAGGGAATGCCAGGGAAACAGGGTGCCGTGCTGAAAGAATAAGATCGCCCCGTTGAAAGTGGGGTTCAGCAGCCATCTCCTTTTGACAAAGATGTCCCTGTGGGGTAGCTCAGTTTGTAGAGCGTGAGACTTTTAATTTCCTGGTCGTGGGTTCGAGATCTACATTGGCAAGTTTCCTGCATTGCAGCGGGTTGGACTAGATGACCCTTGGGGTCCCTTCCAATTCTATGAAACATATGCAGCAAATAAGGGGATCTGCCCTCAGCAGAAGCAAGCCAGGCACCCCTGACCTCTGATCCTTCCTTGAAAGCGAGCGGAGCTGATTTTGCAAAGATCTGTCTTGAGGAAACAGGATTTGCCTTCCAATAACTGTGTATTTCTTGTGTGTTTATAGTTGCTGGGGTGGGGTGGTACTTCTATGTTGCAAGCTTGCTTTCGTGACATGCTGCTTTAAGCGTGTCCTGTTGTTTTCAAAGGATTGCGCATTATATTGCATGTGTCACGGTCTCTGTAAATCGCTTCTTTTGGCTGTGTGCCAGGATTCATAAATCAGCGGGCGGAAAAAGAAGTTTTTCTCCCTCTCTCATCGTGCTAGAACCCTTGGATGACCGGTGAAGCTGGACGCTGGGAGATCCAGAAGAGAGAAAAGGAAGTCTTTCTTCAGGCAGCATGTGGTGAGACTATGGAACTCCCACCCACAAGAAATGAAGATGGCCAGCAACTTCGATGGCTTTAAAAGAGGATGGGACAATTTCCCTTCTATCTCTACATTCTATGATTCCAAACCAGCCCCTTCCTCGCCCACCTCCCTGGTCCAGCTTCTGGAGCCTCCATAACAACAACAACAACAACAACAACAACAACTTATTATTTTTACCCCGCCCATCTGGCTGGTTTCCCCCAGCCACTCTGGGTGGCTTCCAGCAAAAGATTAAATTCCACCATGACAAGCCACATCAAAAGTCACATGAATGCATATATTGGATACCTCTCTCTCTCTCTTTTTAAATTTTTTTTATTAGTTTTTAACATATCATTTTCAAATAATTAAACATACTTTTACATCTTATACAATTTTGGACTTCCATCAATCACGTCTGAAAATTTTCCAATCTATTCACTTAAATATACTTGTCTGACTTTCACTAGTACCTTTAAATTTCATAACTAAAATCTCTCTCCTTTCTCTATTTTGCAATATTTCATATATTTCTCCGTACAAAACTTATATTAGGTACCTCTCAACTTCCTCTGGACCATCACCCACCCACAGTTGGGTACCTGAGCTGGGCTGACGCTCTTGTATCTCTGCGACGATATTTCCCTATTTAATGGGAGGCTGCACTGAATTTTCACAGGATTGGATTTTCTCCTGGAAAAGGTGTCGTTTCAAGCGGTGCACAGGGGGCGAAGATCAGCACTCTGCTAAATTGAGCATTGGGGGGCAGGACGACAACAACCTTTTTGTTTGCAAAATCTCCACCTCTCTCTCATGGCACTTCACTTGCCAAGAGGAAGGTTGGGCTGCCGGTTGTCCCCTTAGAAGTGCTTTGTCCCAATCCAAAGTGGGGAAGCACTTTTGCCCCCAAAAGATCATAAAAATGAAGGGGGCCTGGAGAAGAAGAAGAGGAGGAGGAGTTTGGATTTGATATCCCGCTTTATCACTACCCGAAGGAGTTTCAAAGCAGCTAACATTCTCCTTCCCCTTCCTCCCCCACAGCAAACACTCTGTGAGGTGAGTGAGGCCGAGAGACTTCAGAGAAGTGTGACTAGCCCAAGGTCACCCAGCAGCTGCAGGTGGAGGAGCGGAGACACGAACCCAGTCCACCAGATTATGAGTCCACCGCTCTTAACCACTACACCACACTGGCACACTGGAGAGACAAGGTCAGGGTTTTCCATTAAGAATCCCTTTTGAGTAAGTGTGAAGTTGATCAGCATTGCTCCCATTTCACAGATAAGTTAAGTGAGAATGCTTTAGAATCATAGAACTGTAGAGCTGGAAGGGACACTGAGGGTCATCTAGTTCAACCCCATGTAATGCAGGAATCTCAGCTGAAGGTTCCACCCAACTTCGGCTTAAAAGCCTCCAATGGAGGAGAATACACCGTCTCCCAATGGAGTCCATTCCACTGTTGAACAGTTCTTATCATCAGACAGTTCTCCTGATGTTGAGTCGGAAACTCCTTTCTTGCAACTTGAAGCCATGGGTTTGAGGTCCTACCCTCCAGAGCAGGAGAAAACAAGCTCGCTCCATCTTCCATGTGGCAGCCCTTCAGATATCATATCACCTCTCTGTCACCTCTTTCCCAGACTAAACATCCCCAGTTCCTTCAACCGCTCTTCATTAGGCTTCGTTTCCAGAGCCTTGATCATCTTGGTTGCCCTCCTCTGCACACCTTCTAGCTTAGCAATCTCCTTCTCAAACTCAGGTGCCCAAAACTGGACACAAACACTACTCTGTTCGCCAAGGCTATTCCAGAAGTCAGTGGCAGAGATTTATTTGGACAAAGAAGGCTGATCACCGAAGAATGGATGCTTTTGAATTCTGGTGCTGGAGAAGACTCTTGAGAGTCCCATGGACTGCAAGAAGATCAAACCTCTCCATTCTGAAGGAAATCAGCCCTGAGTGCTCACTGGAAGGACAGATCCTGAAGCTGAGGCTCCAAGACTTTGGCCACCTCATGAGAAGAGAAGACTCCCTGGAAAAGACCCTGATGCTGGGAAAGATGGAGGGCGCAAGGAGAAGGGGATGACAGAGGACGAGCTGGTGGGACAGTGTTCTTGAAGCTACTAGCATAAGTTTGACCAAACTGCAGGAGGCAGTGGAAGACAGGAGTGCCTGGCATGCTCTGGTCCAGGGGGTCATGAAGAGTCGGACACGACTAAACAACTAAGCAACAACAACAAGTGCCAGCAGAAAGGTCCTCACCCCCCCACCTCCCACCCTGCTGGAGAACTGTGTCTCCTGCTCAGCCCTTGAAACAACCAAGGTGTAAGTTAAGTTACTCACCTGATGGCAGGGTTCTTGACAGCCTTGGATTCTTCAGCCCCTCCTAATCCCCACCATGCAAGATGGTTAGAGAAGGTTGAGGGAAATCTCAAAATACAGAGTTCTTGCCAGTTAGCTCCTTCCAGTCCAGAAGGAAAGGAAGAGCCCTCTAGACATGGGCAGTCATCCCTTCCATGGGCCACAAGGGGTCTTGTGTGGTGGTGGTGGTTCTCCTGATGTTCCTCTGCTTCAGATTGCCAGCTGTGGCTCTCTCAAAACTCTGCAGCCAGCCCTTCTCCAGGCAAAGTGAAGGACCCAGGCAGCTTTCCAGCTAGCCTTCGCCACTCCTGGGGAAGCCAAGGGGAGTGGGAAGGGGGCAGGCATAGAAAGGGGAGAGTCAGAAGCAGCTCCAAGGGCTGGATTGTTGTTGTTGCTCTGAAAAAGGTTCCAGTTGCTGGGAGTCTCTTAAAAGTTTCTTGGAAGAAGTGGACCATGCGGAGAGGGACAGGTATGGAGAGATGCGACCTCTGGTGGCTCAACTCCTGCAAGGCAGGCTGGCATCACGTTTCTTTTGCAGCAGGGATAAAAGAAAAGACTCTTCGCGGACGTTTTGTGGTTCTTGCGGAGGCCGTTAGCACTTAATGGGGCGTGTATTCTGTAGTCTGAGAAACGTGGGAAACAGAACGCAGAGCAGGGTTTTTCCAATGAGTTTTACTTAGCCCAGCAAGTCTATAATGTTGAATCGTATATTGTTGTCTATATTGGGAGTGGCCGCTGAGACCATATAACACCGGTCTTGAAAGACCTACATTGGCTCCCAGTACGTTTCTGAGCACAATTCAAAGTGTTGGTGGTGACCTTGAAAGCCCTAAATGGCCTCGGTCCTGCATCCCTGAAGGAGCGTCTCCACCCCCATTGTTCTGCCTGGACACGGAGGTCCAGCGCCGAGGGCCTTCTGGCGGTTCCCTCACTGTGAGAAGCCAAGTTATAGGGAACCAGGCAGAGAGCCTTCTTGGTAGTGGTGCCAGCCCTGTGGAACGCCCTCTCACCAGCTGTCAAAGAGAACAACAACTACCAGACTTTTACAAGACCTCTGAAGGCAGCCCTGTTTGTTGTTGTTGTTTAGTCATTTAGTAGTGTCCGACTCTTTGTGACTCCATGAACCAAAGCACACCAGGTCCTCCTATCTTCCACTGGCTCCCACAGTTTGGTCAATCTCATGCTGGTAGCTTCGAGAACACTGTCCTACCATCTCGTCCTCTGTCGTCCCCTTCTCCTTGTGCCCTCCATCTTTCCCAACATCAGGGTCTTTTCCAGGGAGTCTTCTCTTCTCATGAGGTGGCCAAAGTATTGGAGCCTCAGCTTCAGGATCTGTCCTTCCAGTGAGCACTCAGGGCTGATTTCCTTCAGAATGGATTGGTTTGATCTTCTTGCGGTCCATGGGACTCTCAAGAGTCTCCCTCAGCACCAGAATTCAAAAGCATCCATTCTTCGGCGATGAGCCTTCTTTATGGTCCAGCTCTCACTTCCATACATCACTACTGGGAAAACCAGAGCTTTAACTATACGGACCTTTGTCGGCAAGGTGATGCCTCTGTTTTTTAAGATGCTGTCTAGGTTTGTCATTGCTAATCCTGCAGGTGCCTGGTATAACTCTAAATCAGGGAGTGCGAAGCCTCCTCTCTCTTTTTTATCTATTAACAGTTAGTATTTTAGTCTCGGTTTTTTTCCATTCCAAATAAATTTCGCCATATCTTTATTCCACTCTTGAAAACATTTCATCCCCCCCCCCCCCATATCGGTATAAAGGTAAAGGGACCCCTGACCATTAGGTCCAGTCGTGACTGACTCCGGGGTTACAGTGCTCATTTCACTTTATTGGCCGAGGGAGCCGGCACACAGCTTCCAGGTCATGTGGCCAGCATGACTAAGCCGCTTCTGGTGAACCAGAGCAGCGCACGGAAACGCCGTTTACCTTCCTGCCGGAGCAGTACCTATTTATCTACTTGCACTTTGACATGCTTTCGAACTGCTAGGTTGGCAGGAGCAGGAACCGAGCAACGGGAGCTCACCCCGTCGCAGGGATTCAAACCGCCAACCTTGTGATCAGCAAGCCCTAGGCTCTGTGGTTTAACCCACAGTGCCACCTGCATCCCTAATATCTGTATAGTTTGAAATA